GAACTGGCTGAAGAGATTTCAGAATCACTATCTGTTATTTTCTTGAAATCATGGAAGATGGGTAGAGTTACAGCTGATTGGAGGAGTATTCAAAAAGGGCAAAAAGGAAGAACCAGGGAACTACAGACCAATCAGCCTGACATCAATCCCAGGGAAAATTATGGAGCATACTGTACAGTCGTGCCCCGCTTTATGATTACCCCATTTAACGACGAATCCGCTTGATGGTGAGGTTTTTGCAATCGCTTTTGCGATCGCAAAATGATGGTTTGAATTGGTTTTTTTTGTTACGACAATCAAAAACAGCTGATCGTCAGGTTTCAAAATGGCCACCGGCTGAAGAAAATGGCGCCCTGCTGTGCTTAGGGACGGATTCCTCACTGCACAGGCACCGAAAATGACCGCCCCTATGGAGGATCTTCGCTGGACGGTGAGTTTTCAACCCATTGGAATGCATTGAATGGTTTTCAGTGCATTTCAATTGGCTTTTTTATTTCGCTTTACAACGTTTTTGCTCTACAAAGATTTCGCTGGAACGAATTAACGTTGTTAAGCGAGGCACCACTGTATTATAAAGCAATCACTCTGCAAGTACCTTGAAAACAATGCAGTAATAGCTAGAAGCCAACATGGATTTCTGAAGGCCAAAACCTGCAAAACTAATCTTATCTCACTTTTTGATTGGGTAGCCTCCCTGGTAGATGATGAGAATGCTGTAGACATAATATATATTGATTTTAGCAAAGCTTTTGAGAAGGTTCCCCATTATATTCTGATTAGCAACACAGCTAGGTGTGGGCTGAATAGCACAACTATCAGGTGGAGACACCGTTGGTTCCAGAATCGTACTCAGAAAGTGCTTATCAATGGGTCCTTCTCAAGCTGGGAGGAGGTAACAAGTGGGGGATCACAAGGCTGAATCTGGTGCTCTTCAATATTTTTATTAATGAATTAGATGAGCGAGTGCAAGTAATTTGTGGATGACATAAAATTGGGTGAAATAGCTAATACCCTGGAAGACAGGAACAACATTAAAAAAGATCTTTATAAGCTGGTGCGCTAGTCTGAAAACAACAGAACGAAATTTAACAGAGATAAGTGCAAAGCTCTACTCTTGGAGGGAAAAACAACCCAAATGCAGTTACAAGATGGGGGATATTTGGCTCAGTAATATTATGAGTGAGAAGAATCTTGGAATTGTTGTAGATCACAAACGGAATATGAGCCAACAGTGTGATATGGCTGCAAAAAAGGCCAATACTATTTCAGGTTTCATTAACAAAAGTATGATCTGCGAATCCCATGAAGCATTAGTCCCTCCTGCTCTGTTCGGCACTGGTTAGGCCTCATCTAGAATACTGTGTCCAGTTCTAGACATTGCACTTTAAGAAGGATGCCAATAAACTGGAACAAGTTCAGAGGAGGGCAGGAAGGATAATCCGGGAACTGGAAACGAAGATCTATGAAGAAAGGCTGAAAGATTTGAGTATGTTTAGCCTTGAGAAAAGAAAACTGGGGGGGGGGGGTTGATATGATAGCACTTTTCAAATATTTAGAAGATTGTGATACAGTGGTGCCTCGCATAGCGAGGTTAATCCGTTCCGGATTAACCTTCGCTATAGCGAAACATCACTAAACGTTCCTATGGCTTGAAAACTCACCGTTAAGCTAGGCTCTGACATAGTGCCGCCATTTTCGCGCCCTCGGTAAGCGAGGGCAGGGCGCGAAAATGCGGCGTGGACCTTCCGGCGGCCATTTTGGACCCGCCGATCAGCTGTTCTCCCCCGCTTCGTTATGCGATATTCGCTAAGCGAATCGCTTAGCGAATATCGCAAAGCGAAAAATCCCCATAGGGGCCATCGCTGAGCGAATGCTCCAGCGATGGCCCAGAGCGCCTCGTTAAGCGATTTCATTGCTCAGCGAGGCGCTCGTTAAGCGAGGCACCACTGTATAAAGGAGGGGCAAGATCTGTTCTCGATCAGCTCAGAGTACAGGACATGTAATAATGGGGTCGAGTTCCAGGAAGCCAAATTTTGGCTGAATTTTAGGAAAAACTAAGCAACTCTTAGAGCAATACAACAATGGACCCAATGCCCTTGGGAGGTGCTGGGTACCCCGACGCTGGAGCATTCAAGAGAAAATCAAACAGCCATCTTTGAGATCTAGTTTGATTTGAATTCCTTCACTGAGCAAGGAACGGACTCAAAGACCCCTTGTAGCTCCAAGATTCAATAATTCTATGATTTTGTCTCACAATTAATGTCGCTTGCCTGGAGTTAGTGTCTTGAATGCCTGATACTGTTATGAAGCACTGCAGGATTAGGCCTACTTATGCTAATAAAGGCAGTATGGTTTCTGCCACCAACTATAGTCTTTTCCATATTGTTGCCAGAAAAAAAAGTACAGTACAGTACTAGGAAATGTAGGGGGTTTCTGGAATAATGCTCAAAGGGTTTAAAGGGAAGGAGCAGTGAAGATCTGCCCACAGGCCAGGCCAAATTTACTCTCCATACTTCTGTCTAAAAGACATTTATTGTTGTTTGAAATACAAACATTTTGAACTCAGAGAAAGGGAGGGGGGGAGAGTGTAAGTGAATGAAATGTAAGACACATATTTAGAATCCAGCTGTGAACTCTATTAATTTCCATGGTTACTGATCTAGTAAAGGCTATTTATATATCTGTATCTAGAATTAATACCTACTCTGCAAAAAAAAGTTCTGAAAATGGATTTTGAATGGGATAGAAAACTAATGCTTCCCTTCTCAATCAGGAAGCGATAGAAGTGCTGCCTTTGGCACCTTACAAAAGAGGATTGTCACTCTGTCTTCCAGAATCAATGATGCAAGATGTGTTGTTTTCTGCAAGTAGTGCTGAGATGACATTTTTGGGAATTGTGATTTCAGAAGCAAAAACATTGGTATTTGGGGCAATAGGGACACAAATAGTCTGTGCTTTCATTTTCTCATGCATTTGTCTTGCTTTGTCATACTCCTTTCAGTTTGACCTGCTGATGCTTCCCCACTATGTTTATTTCCTCAATACATTTAAAATGTGGAAGGGCGTCCTCCTTACTTAGTTCCATCAAGAAAAACATAATTATACTTGATATAATTGGGAGTGGGAGGTGTAGTATTAGAACCAGCAAAGTCTTATGGCATTTTCAAGCCTTTTTTTTATGGACTGCAGCAAAATGCCAAATAAAACCTGTTAATTTTTAAGGAACCATATGTTATTCAGATACCAGGCAGTACTTCATGAAATGTTCAGCATCTCTAGATATACACAACTATTTATGACTTCCTGAAGGAAAAGTAAATAAAGATGCAAATATGAATTGTAAAATTTACTTGTACAGTGGTGCCCCGCATGATGACGATAATGCATTCTGTTAAAAGCGCTGTACAGCGAAATCGTTGTCATGTGCAAATAAAAACCCCATTGGAATGCATTGAAAACCGGTTAATGCGTTCCAATGGGGGAAATACCTGCTCATCCAGCAAAGATCCTCCATAGGGCGGCCATTTTGCGCCCCCTGTCTTGCGGAAATAGGTCTGGAAAACAGCAGGGAGCCATTTTGCGAACCGCCGATCAGCTGTTTTAAATTGTCATCCAGAGAAAAAACGGTTCCTGAAGCAGGGACCAAATCTACGTAAAGCGAAAAAACTCCATAGGAACCATCATTTTGCAATCGCTATAGCGATCGTAAAAAAGGCATCGTCAAGCGATTTTGTCGTTTAACGGGGTAAGCGGGGGTGAATACTTGTATCTGTGTATTTGATGTAATGTTACAGGTTTGTGGTAGTATATACATGGTCATTATTTTAACCAAGATCAGTAGATAACTGCTACTATAAATCAAGCATTTCCCTTATATGCAGGGCCTTCTAGACTGAATCTATGACATATCCAGTTTTTAAATTGGACAAGGGACAGTAGTAACAGGGCTAGTAGAGGGGTGTGGTGTCCGCCCAGGTCATTAATATTAATGTCCTATCTGCATGGACCAATTAGAATGCTGGAGAGGTGGAGTCATGAGATAAAAGAGTCTCTGCAGGAAGATTGAGAGTTTTAGATTGGAAATTAGAGGACTTGTGTTTTGGAGATATCGGAGATTAGAGTTTGAGTTTGGGAATTTGGAGTTGAGAGAGAGTTTGGGAAAGTGGGGAGTTGAGAGAGAGTTTGGGAAAGTGGTAGAGAATAGAAAGGAAAGTTGTTTTAGTTGAGAGTTAACAACACTGACTGAACTTTCATTTCTTGTAGCAATAAATGATTCCTACTTGGTTTTTAAAATGACACATTGGCTGGACCTCTGTGATTAATAATAAACAATGTTGATGTAATCAACTGGTGGCAGCAACACAACACGTAGCTTGTGCCCTGCGGTTGGTGAAACAACCAAGGGACAGGCAGGAACATGACAAGGGGCCTCTGGAGCAAAACTGCCTGTCAGAGCATTACGGAAATTCATTAATTTATTAGATTTATAGCTTCTCTGTTTTATTAGCACTGAAGGGTAAACAATGTTAGCCTGATGAGTGAATAGTCATACTCAGTACCTGGAAATGTATACATTATATGTTCACATACATACTGTAATTTAGGAGTATATCCTTGACCAAGATCTGTGACAGTCTAATGATTTTGCTTATGCCAGCTGTTGTATTCGTGTTTTAATTCTTTGTAATCTTTTTCATATTTTTATCCCATGCTTTGCCTTTTGAACCCTGTTTATTCCTTCCACCCACACAATGATCCGAGGGGCCAGTGGTGAATAGTTTCTGAGCTTGCACGAGAAGCAGGTAATGCCTCCTTGCACAAACACAGAAACTATCCAGCTATTCACAGAGGGGATCCCTACATGTGTGGGAGGAATGACCACATTTCTGCCCATTGTCTCTATCAAAATACAAAGATTGGCAGCCTGTTGCCCTACCTCCATGAAGTAAATGAACAAGCAATCAGGCTACTCAAGTTATGGATTTGAGTTTATTCAGTGCTTAGTCTTTGGCTGGCCACTCATTCCACACTGGTGTCCTTTCATTCAATATTGGCTTTCATATTCTGAAACTCTGGGGAGCCCTGTTGGGATCACAACATGGAGAATAATCAGTACCATACAATAGACGGAGCTTCTCTTTCAAATGGATCTGCCCCATAAGTGCTACCTGGAGAAGTCACAGTCACATTATCCCTGTTCAGCTATCCTCCACATTTTGTACTCATGAACTGATTTTATTCCTGAAGGATGCATGCAAGCAATTTTTTTTTTTTTTTTTAAAGAATGGAACTGAAACTTGCAATCCCTTCATTTTTCTGACAAGTAATTTATTCCTGAAGGATGCATGCAAGCAATTATTTTTTTGTGGAAAGAATGGAACTAAAACTTGCAATCACTTCATTTATCTGACAAGTAATACTTTCTGGCAATTAAACAATTCTGCTCGCTTGCTGGTTGTTCCAACCAGCTCATTTTTAAAATATGGGATTTGTCTTTCAAATAACCAGAGTCTGTCATTTCATCCAAATCAGGAACTCCAGTTAAGTTTAATTATAATTTATCCAAAGAAGCCCGAATCAAAATTCACTGTTTGACCTTGGCTTATGAGGACCTATTATAGTTTAAATTAACCACACTTTGATATGTTTGACACAAAACAAACTGAGGTTTGTTGCAAATGGCTGATGCCAGTTTCAATAATGGGCATGGGCAGACAGCTGCACTGGTGGCAGCATATGTTCCAGCTACCTAATGCTCGGCTCAATGTAGTGGCACAAAAAGAAGTGCTAGGCAAATCAATCATCTACCATCATCTTTTTCATTCTGAATGTCTCTGGATTCTGCTCGCAAATGCATGTAATGCACAGGGGTGACTGTGGTTGCCTAGCCCAGTGTTGGAGAAACACACTCCTCAGGTTTGCTCCACCTGGACCTTCCCTTGATGGTGGAATGCACAAGGAGAGCAAAGGAGACTAATACGCTGGTAAGAGGTGAACTCCTCAGTCAGGATGCTGGCTTTGCAATGCCTCCACCTTCCTGGACTGGGAGAGGAGAAGAAGTTTTGGGGACACAGGGAACCTCATAGGCCAGCTGGGAAGCTTGATAAGCTAAATTGGAAGACTGCATATCCTGGTCCAATGGCAGAGAAATAGAATGTGTGTATATCCAGATGCAATCCCCAGTAGAACAGAGGTATGGGGAGTCTATGATGCTCCAGATGTTGATGGCCTAGAAGTACCATCATCCCTCGCCATTGTTATGCTGTCTGAGGCTCATGGGAACAGCAACCTGAGCATGTCTGACAGACTACACATCCATGTCCTATAAGTATCTCATGCATTCTCACTCCTTGTCCCATCAGAGTAGAAATATTACCTATTTTGTGGCTACTCCTGTTTTTCTTTTTGCTTCCTCTGCTTTGTCCAGATAGGAAAACAGCAAAGCCAGCTGCTCCAGAGCCTGTAAATGTTAAATATCACAGTCAAATATTATTTGTACGGTATTTTGAGCCACGTGTATGTAAAGAAATCTACTCAAATGAAATTAGTACTGTACATTTCTATACATAAAGCATTTTCTTACTCAAGCTGTTGCAAAATACAGCCACAGAGAAACTAAAGGGACTTAAATTTGAGCTAAACATTACCAACAGACCAAAGAAAGTTAGAAAGAATATATAAGTCTACGAGGAAACTTGGAAGGAATGGCTAGGGATTTATTACTGGGGATTTATGGCAGTGTAATTATAATTGCATAAATCACAGTAGCAAATTGGTGCTAATTAACAGGTTACCACTCACATTTCAGATTAGGTGCCAGGTCACATACTGAGCACACAATCAGCAGTGCCAGTGAGAAGCCTGTGCTGCAGGGTCAGAAGACCAAGCAGTCGTAAGATCGAATCCACGCAATGGAGTGAGCTCCCATCACGAGCACACAATCAACAGTGCCAGTGGCAGCTAATTAACTAGTGGCAATTCACCTCCAGGATTCATGCAGTCTGCTGGTATAATTCCCCAATAGGATTCTGGCCAATATCATGGCAATTTCTTGTACCCTTGTCTCCAAATGTTGTCCCTGCTGCCTTCTTACTCCTTAATTTGTCTGGCTTGGTGACGGTAATAGGGAAAGAGATATCATGGCCCTGCAATGCTTCTCTTCTTTCTCTTCCTGTCTAATGTTCATTTGTGTCCCAGGCACTGATAAGCCTGGTATTTCCCTGGGGTTTTGGTAACTGAATATTCCAGATGCCAAGAAAGTGGGTGTTGTTTGGCAGCCATTAAGACATGATTGCTAAGTGCTTCAGAGTCACTCTTAGGCAAGCAGAAGAGTGCTAGGAGTAGCTCTTTTGCAGAGTTATTTCACATTAAAAGTATCGGAATCCCACAGCCAATATGGCCAGTGCCCACGCTGAATGGGAATCCTGGGCGTTGTAGACACACGCACAAATATAACATTTACCAAGCTCTCTTCCACTTGTGGAAGGAAATTGAGAGGCTGTCTGGGGAGTAGCCATAATTTAGCACCATTCACATGCTTTCCATGTGGATAGTCCATTAATCCAATCTCTACCACCTGTGTTTAGAAGGATCAGGTAGCAACATGAAACCTCTTAATCTCACCCTGCCTTTGAAAAAGTCAGGGGAGCAAATGTAGATTTATACAATTTTATTCTCACAATATTCTCTAAACTGAGAAGTAAAAGATTTGCCCAAGGCTACTCTGTGAATCACTGGTCTGAATGTGCACTTGAATTCATCCTCTACATTTTCAGTCAAACAATCCTTTAAGGGCAGTGTGATCTTTCTCAGCACTTGCGTAGGATCATGTGGGAGTAGAGATCAGTGTTGTTTGTCTTCTGGCTTGTACCTTTCTGCTACAGGCTTACATTGTATTGTCAGACATGCTGACCTCCTTGGCTTTGAAAAATACCATATACTGTACAGTACTGGCAACTTATTCATGTGTACTTGGTTATGAAGTCCAAAAGGAAACTCAGCACCGAGCAGAGGATGTGAGCAGGTGGAGATAATAGCTTGCCATTTGGACCACATACAGGAGATTGTGAACTCGCCCACCCCTGCTCCATGCCCAAGGCAGACTACAGAAGATTGTGAACTAGCCCACCCCTGCTCCATGCCCAAGGCAGACCTTTTTGGTCTGATGGCATGCATACACTGCTTTTGGAGCTGGGCTGGAGCGATTCCTATACACATGGAAGGGTCGCTTTAAGGGAGACCACTCCCAACAAAGCAACCCTTTACAGTGTGATTAGACATGATACTTCATCACCATTTAATCGCATCCAGAGTTTTGGAATTGATAATCTTTGGGACCTTTTGAATCCATGAAATTCTGGCTACTAGATATTCCAAAATGAGAGCAGGAAGAGTCATCTTTTATTATAACCCTATCCTTGCTTATTTTGATAGGCAATCATCTTGTTTCCTCTTTGGTGCATCGACACCTTCTACTGCTTGTGAATAGTGAGTGCTTATTAATGTAAAGAGGGATGTGAAGCAGTATGGCACAATGGGCAAAGTGCTTGACTTGGAATAAGAAAAGAGGGCTTACCGTCTCTGCTCAGCCATGAAACTCATTAGCGAACCAATGAGTCAATGTGGTTTTCTCAACAAGGAAAACCTCAGGTGCCCTGTTGGGAGCTCATGAAACGAAAGATAAATACAAGTGGTAAAGTGTACTTCAAGAGCTGAGAAGTAACACTGAGCTGCAAAGGATTATTCCTCTCACCAGTTAAGGCTATTTCCAAAGAAGTCACTATGTTCATCTGTCACAGCATGTTGGCAAAAGAAAAATTACAAAAAAGGGGAGGTTTATATAATTTCAAAGACTAGAATTATTGTTTCAATGTGAGGCTAAGAAAATGGACTTTAAATCAGGAAAGTTCACACTGAACTAAATTGTTAGTCTTTCAAGTACTACAATATTTTGGTGCCCCCTGTGTTCACTTATTAAGGCTAGAGAGCAGTGGCTATAATAACCTTGCATTTCCTGAAATAAACAGCAAGCATCCCATTGATCTGAATGACACGGCCGTGTAGCAACACAGTAGATGTCTCTCTGGTCATGTGGAATTATCTTAATGAACTGGGTTTTTGTATTTTTATTCAATATCTGCAATGGAGAAATGAAATGTGTGTTTGCCTTAAATTATTCTATAGTTGGCCCCGCTTGCTCAAGTTTGCCCCCTTAACAATTTAAAGTAAAAACTAACAAGAGACTGGGGTCCTATGCATGCATATGTATGCAGCACTAAGTCCAGTGGAAATTTTTGGGATTTACATTTCTGAGTAAGCCTCAATGAAACTCAGCTGCAGAGAAGCTAATAAGGTACAAGAGACATGATACAGTTGCTGCTTGTCCAGACATAATTGTATACTGTACATGTTTTGTTAGTCCTCTAATTGGAGTTCTGGAGAACCGTAATCAGTGACCCAAAAATTATCACTGTGTCCTGCTTCGTCTCCCATATAGATCCTCATAGCACCATAGAAATCAGCTGGTCCTATACAAATATATTTGCATTAACATCTAAAAAGTATATTATCGCCTAAGGAATATTAGCAGCACTCCAAAATGAACATGACATTTTTTTTTCATCAAAATTAAGAGCCTAGTTTTGAAGGTGGACATCCAGAGTTTCTGCACAAAATATTTAAAAAATACACCCGTACCCAATTTCAGGAGGTTCTGCTTCTTTTTCATGCCGCTTTCTGTCCTCTGTTAAGATATCTTCAGTCTTCTGAATCAGAGAAATTTTTAACAACTGGTGATTTCATTATCAAAAGCTATTTTCTGACTAACCTTTTGCTCAGAATACTTGCTCCAGGTCACACATAGTTTAAGACATGTGACTTTGTTATAACAATTCCTATTTAAAAATATAGAACATGCTTCACTGCATTGGTGGTTTTGGACAAACAGCATATTTAATTCAGTCCTCTGTGGATGTCATGGACAAGTGCACTTGGTTCTGCCTCAGCACAGCCTAAATATTTTCCATGTGTGTACCAAGTTTTATTGTTGGTGATATGTGAACCAGAAGCCCTTCAATTTGACTTTTAGATCAAGACCCACATTGCCAAAAATACTGCTGCGACAGTAACTCTCTCTCTATATATATATATTTGCAACGATTTCTATTGTAAACATTTCAAAAACTGAATCATCTGACTGATCTTAAAACTGATCTGTTTTGTGTCTTACGCTGTCTCTGCAAGGAAAATGGGATGTAGATCTTTCATAAAGAAACAGGTTTGATTATAAATCAGAGGAAATGTTTAAAACATAGATTTCTTGAGCTATGGCTTCCACATCTAGAAAACCATCCACTCCAATCCAACGAGAAAGAACAGGGTGTGTCACTGTTGTGGATGCCCAACACTCGTCGAAATGGATGAGGTGATTGTTGGATCCAGTAGCTGGGTGCTTCCTGAGCTAATACTGTTCTCAAAGCCAAATAAATAATACAGAAAACGTGCAGTTCTTAGCTGTGGCCACTTTTTTTTCTAACCCGAAGGTAGCCATGGGGTGGCCCAAAATATGAGAGCAGAAGATGGTTATTCCATACATCTCCAGCCAGTTTTTAAAAATTAAATTTCAAACCCCTGCTTCCATGCCTGGGCTCAAAACAACAAAGCATAAGATGGAAGCCACGGATTTCCCTCCCTTTTTCAGCCATTAAGTATGTGTCTGTGCGGAGATGAACTAGCTTGAAAAACTGGAGTTAGCCTCCCTCCCTACCATTGCCCAATAGGCTGGATCCATATGGGGATTTACACATTTATTCATGAGTAAAGAAGAGTCATACATTTAGCATGTAATCTAGTTTAATCCTCTATTAAACTTGGATTGGAGTCAGGTTTACAACACATGTACAGTGGACCCTCTACTTATGGAATTAATCCGTATTACAATGGTGGCTGCAAGTCAAAAAGTCTGTAGGTCGAATCTCAATTGACCTACAATGCATTGAAAACCGATTAATCCCATAACTGGCAGTTTTTATTCTATTTTTGTTCCATTTTGTTTGTTTTTTCTGGTCTGTAAATCGATTCTCCAGCTGCAAATCGAATCTAAATTTTGCGGCCAGAGAAGTCTGTAACTTGAAAAGTCTGTAAGTCGAGCCGTCTGTAAGTCGAGGGTCCACTGTATTTGGGGACTGCACCTGTGAGGGGGTCATGTTTTGGAGGTTCTCAGCTCTGGGACTTTCTCCTAAGAAGTTTAATTGGTCCTTGTTTTGGATTTACATGAACACTCTTCATTCTGCATGATTTCTGAATGATTTAAAATATATTAGCTCTCTTTTCTGATTTTAAAAGATTGTTCTTCTCCTAGTACTAATTGTGCTCTGTTATAGCACTTTACAGGTTTACATTGTAAGTGGCCTTAGCTACCCTTTCTAGATTTCAGGGAAACTCAGATTTAATATTTTAAAATAAATATTAAAAATAGATAAAGTATTTTGAAAATGAAGAACTAATGGATCTGAGGTTGTAATTCCTGTGTCTATGTCTTCCTCTTAGATGCACACCTTACTGAGATGAAAGGGTCTGGGTGTGTCAGGGAAGCTGACACACCCAGCTTCCCTCCCTATGTCATCGGGAGGCTAAACATTACAAGTCTGGATTCCTAGCAGGGTCACCAAAGCAGAAACAGGTTGTATTACAAATCAAAGGAAACTTGGAGCAACACAGAAAACCTTGTGAAGGCCAGCTACCAGGTGGCTGCAGTAGCAGAAGATGACACTGGTGGAGATTTTTTTTTTAACAGACGATGGCAGTGATATTCAAGCTAACATTTGTTAGTACTGTACAGGAAAATGCAATGGTAAACTACTACTGAATATTTATTACTTCAAAAACACGATTATAGGACAATCCAAAATGAAAGAAGAGGTGGTGCTGGAAGATGAAACTTCCAGGTCAGAATACACTCAGGACTTGTCTACATGACTGGGGTGAACTAGAGTGGGCTAAATAAGATTGCAGCCAGTTTTATGTCCAAGATGCCATTGGTGTGTTCTTTGCACCTAAATGGCATACACAGTTCAAGCTGCCTCTTTTAAGAAAGTAGCAGCAGCAGCAGCAAATCTTCCCTCTTTCCTCCTCCTTCCAGGAGGAACATTTCAATTTTTTTTTAAATTGTCTCTAAGTGGTATTGTGCATCAGCTCTGCCCCAAAAGATTTTTTTAAAAAACTCTTTGTTTCCTTCCTCTGCTCCTCCACAAAGGAGCAGAGGAAGTGTTTAATTTCCCAATATATTGAAGTGGCTAAGCTCTCTTCTTAAGCCATTTAATGACACTGGAAAATTGAAAGGGGAAGGGAAATTTAATGCTGCAAGGCCCACTTTGGTTCAATCTCAGCAATCACATGTGCTGGAAATGAACTAAAATTAAGCAATCCTGCCCCCCCCCCGATAGAAATGCTCTGGAGACTGGTTTGCTCTAGCAATTAGGTTGTCTAATAGTCAGCAAGAAGAGTGAACCAACCCATCCCCACAGTGGACCAAACAGATGCCTTCTGATTACACCCATAGTAATGTACTGAGGAGGAGCAGTTTTTAAAAAACGCTTTAAGACATTTTACTGTATATTGTTGGAAGTACCCTGGTAGGCAGGAAAGTGCATACAATATGAAGCTTTGGATGTTGTTGATGATTAAAATTGTCAATCTAAAATGGGTGTGTGTGTGTTATATTTTGCTTGTGGTCCATACTGTAAAACATAAACATATAGCTGTAGCTCTACTATAGCTTCCTGTTCGCTTCCGTACCAGTTTCAAGGTAATGGTACTAACCTCTAATGGTTTGGGACCTCGATATCTGGCTGAGCACCTCCTTCCAGTTAGATCTGCCCACCCTGTAAGATCATCTCAGGCAGGGGGGTTGAGAGTTCTGAACCAGAGAGAGGCCCGGAAATCAACCACTAGAAATCGGGCCTTCTTGGCGGTAGCTACACAAGTACGGAACTCTTTTCCATCCATAGTCTGACTGACCCCTTCACAGGGTACATTTAGAAAGCTGTTAAAAACCTGGCTAGTTAAGCAGGCCTTCTCTGAACAAACAGCTGTATGATACAACACTGTTTGCTAAAACATCATCCATCACACTGCCATGCTTCATGTCTTTTATATTTTATGCTTTTAACTGTCATTTTTTGATTGTATTTGTTTTATTGCACTTTATGATATTAGATTTATGCTGTAATTGTATTATGATTGCTTTGTATATGTATTACTTTGTTACTCTATTGTTTGTTTATCTGCTGTAAACTGTCCAGAGTAGCCCTGGCTGCCAGATGGGTGGCAAATGAATGAATGAATGAATGAATGAATGAATGAATGAATGAATGAATGAATGAAAATACTGTAACACTGGGGGCATAGAGAAATGGTATTTGATAGCACTATCCTATAGAGAAATCCATCATTAAGCACCATCTTCCAGGAAAAAAACCCTAAATGTTATGTTTACTATGTGCACTGTTTCTCTCATTGTCAGTTACCCTGAACATCGCTTGTTAGGCAGAAAGGCAAAATATAGTATTTTAAAAAAATAAACTGAATAAATAAATTTTAATATAATTGAAAGGAGACTGGGTGGTATTTCTTCCCTGTCCCCATTATACTTGCTTCTTTACCTCCTGGAAAAATAGCAAAGGAAAGCTAAGTACATCCAGCATGTGCCTACCTCTTCAAGTCTGTCTCCCAGATCAATCTCCACAAACGATGACAAGTCTTTCTATGAGAAGAGCATAAAATCAGAGACAACAACATTGTACAATACCCTGAGGTATTGGAGAAATGACAGCTATCGGTCTGACAGTGCATGGCTTCGTGTAGAGGGTCTTGGTTGTCAATGAAAACAGAGACTCTCACAAACCTTTCATGACATGTGCTTGCATATAAAGTATGGTTAGTACAGGGAGGGGAGGGACTAGAGAAATTATTCCCCTGGAGGGTTTTTGCTGTCTCTGTTTGTCACACATCATTAAGGCTTTCTAAAGTGAGAAAAACTAGTTAAATGTATGGGCAATTCTGTATATAGCAAAGGAAAGGACGTTTGAAAGGCTGTCCTGTCAATACATCAAAATCTGTTACATTGGTGTTGTGAATATGCATAGATGCAGAGCTTTTTCCTAGAGGACCATGGAAATCTCTTGAGGTGTGCTTAGAAAACGCTGATGCTGTGTAGAGGGTACACTTCTGCAAAGTCAGGAAAAATAATCTTCATTGCTGGTGACTCCTTCTAAGATGGGTGGTGTGTGAATAATAGTAGAGTGTGAAAGGATTGTCTTAGATATAGCCTCCATCTAAGCACCATGAAATTACTTCACCCACCAGGAAGTAATATTCATGTTTTTAATTGAATTTGTTTCATTGTAATTTCAGGGCACTCACAACAACTTGTTAAAAAGATGGAGAACAGGTCCTTAAAATTAGAAAATAAAATAAATCTGTGCAGGAACAAAGTTATACACTTGGTATAACACGAAGCTGTTTCTATAATACTGGAATGGATATATGAAAAGGTAGAATAGCCTTGTGATGGCATCAGTCTGGACAGAATTGCTGTGCTTATCATGTTGTATTTATCCATCTTTTAAAATAAAAACAAAACACTACAGTTAGTAACTTGACATGCTTCCTATTTCTTGCTGCAGTGATAATTAGGAAAGTATTTATCACAGAGTAGAGGTTAATTTCTGCTCAGTGTGGAACCTATTTTCAATATATTTTAAGGATTTCAATCTCCTGTACTCACCCTTGGAATGTCGTTCAAAAACCCATGGGCAAACTTTTTGATTCTCTGATGAAAGTAATAGAGCACTAAGCACTCATTCTGGGGAAATTACTTGCCTTTATCTCCAGAAAAATATCTTCAATTCCAGTTTGTGTCTTTGCCTCCTGTAGATTTAAAAGCAGATGGTTTGGTACACCAGCTGTCCAGCAATTAATTCTTTAACAAGGGCAAAGTGTGTTGTATGTCTTCAAGTCAACTCCATTTTATGGCAACCCTTTTAACTTTTCCGAGGTATGTAAAATATTTAAGGAGTAGTTTTGCCAGAGTCACTCTGCAGTGAATTTCCATGGCTAAGTTGGGATATGAACCCTGGGGTCCTGAATCTCACTATACCATGCTGGCTCTCAACAAAGGCAGGGCCAAGTAAAATTAATCTAAGCCTAAGGTAGGGCCAAGCATAATTGTGGCATAGGCCCCTTCTCCCCTTACTCCATGATCCTCTGTCTGTTTTTGAAATGAAAGTGTATAAAAGGTGTTCTCATCACATTTCAAGCTGCCTGGTTTCTATTTCTGCTTGGAGATGGCATCATAACATGTATGCATATTAATTATCCACAAGGAATAAATGTCTCTTTAGAAACCCTGTCCCCTCGCCCTGAGTCTAATTCCAGTTCTTCTATGTACTCTGGAGATTAGAGTAACTCACTTACTCACATAGGGTCTGAGGCCTCTAAATCTGAGAACTAAACTAGCTCCTACAGTTTCTAGGACCAGTGTCTTCAGGTATTAGGGTGCAGGCCCTTCTCTGGTGGCTCCTCCTGTCTGTACAAAGGAAAAACTGGCAGGAACTAAGGAAGTCGGTCCTGGAATGGTCGGAAGCACCTGCCATACAAGAATGGCTCCTTTCTTTTCAAGTTGCAATTCTTGCCCTTCAGATTGCTTCATGAGTCAGGCGATCTCACTCTTTCTCTCACCCAGAAAGCCATTTTAGGCAACAGTTCCCTATTCCGAATATTGGTTTCAGCAAATATTTACAAATCTGAATGCCTCACACAGATGCAGGAAATATTTTGTGCAACTAGGCACTATAAGAAGCTGCCTCTGAAGTTTGGGTTGTAATCTGTTTTCCCCGGAATTGCACCTCGACCTGTCGGATAAATTTTTAATCATTTTGTTGTCACCAGCATGTTTGAGTTTGCCCAACTGTTCGTTTATGACGCTGCCATCCTGTACTGCTTTCTTAGATTAATTTTCTATAACCATCAATAACATCACTTTTTCCATGCCATATCTTTTCCCAGGATTTATTACAAATAATCAGTTTGCTAGTTTGTGAAATAAGGGGAAATGCATCATTTGGCTCTTGGAATGTGATGTTCATCTGACAGAATTAGCTGCAACTTAGTCATGTTTCAAGTAGACCCATTAAAATAAATGTTATATTCTAAATACTTAGGGGGCTGAGTCAGATTGTAAATGAGCAGTCTGGCATCCATAGCTATCTGTGAAATTCCCAGTGACTTTGAAAGTATAGTAAAATATATCATTCACATTTGTAAAAAAACAACAACACAAGCTTGGATGTATGAAGCTGTCTTCCAGTTCTATTTTTCTGTATTGGATCATGTGTCTGAGTGAACTGCTGAGTACATAATACAACAAGGATTCCAGTATAGTGGGGAAGAGGGATGTTAGCTAGAAAGAAGGGAGGCAGAATGAGATACCAATTCCCTGTTATAAATCAAGAATAGACCAATGGATTTTTAAGGAACTAGGTTGGAGAAGGTGACTGTAGAAAAATACAAGATCCATTGGATAGAAAACTAAATAAATTACAGTTTGGATCCCGGCTTAGTCATATTTAGAGTCAGTTTATTTCAGTGGGTCTACTCTACTTTTCAGCATATTCACAGTTATTTAATAGATCCCATTTATTTCAATGGGTTTACCCTAAGTATTATTAGGTCTGGCTCCAAGATGTGTACTTAATTTTTGTGTGTGTTTTCTGACCGTTGTTTCCCTGGTGTCCGCATGAACAAATCCGTCTTGCTCATGATCACCATCTTTATCTTCTTTGTTTTCATATACTTTCTTCTTGATCTCTTTCAGACTGTTCAGAAAGGAATGTTGACCCATTAACAGAAGTTTATAGAGAGTCTAAATGAACAACTGAATTGAAATATTAGATGAATAGCAATAGTTTATAGTGACTTTTTTGCATTATTTAAATGGTTATCTTTCTAGACAACACTGGATTAACAGAATATCTTTTATATACGTTTTAGGCTCTGTTTTGTTCAAACGTATATATATGTACAATGTAGGCAATGCTAACCATGTTGATTAAACATGTTATAAGTTGTGCAGTTGGAACCAACTTAACAGTAACCCTAATATGTTTTTCAAGGCGAGTGAGATATCTGAGTGATTTTACCAGTTCCATTCCCCCAATGGGTTTCCATGGCTAAGTGAGGATTCAAACCCAGTTTTCCTGGGTACTCGTCCATCATTTTCCTGGGTTCTAGTCCACTGCACTACTGTGGGTACCCCTGATGAAAGAGTCAAAAGCCAAACAAATTCTTCTCTTTCCTATCAACTTAACTGGTTCAGTAGGAGAGAGGGGCCTGGCAATAAAAATATGCAATTATTAAAAAGTTACCTAACTGCTACATTACTGTTACATTTATCTGTTTTTCTTTTTACTCTTGTCATGGCAACATCGTCCTTAATTCCTGGTTAACTATTTGCATACAGTTTTGTAGAGCTTCCATGCAATATATTAAATAAGTAGGAACACAACCTAATTGTGACTTGGAGAAATGCACATTATCATCTTTATGTGAACAAAACAGTGGATTGAAAAGAGGCTTGGGGAGTCATGTTGCTCTGGGTTTATCAGAAGAGGACATGTGACACCATTTGTGTTCCAGTGCCCAAAGGAGGACTATGCTTCCAGTTTTATGCTGGTGTCTCATATTTTGCTTTTATATAGCACAATATATACATTATATAGCACAATGTGTGTGTGTGTGTGTGTGTGTGTGTGTGTGTGT